TTTGGTTTGTTTGTTTGTCTTTGTTTGTTTTTTTTTTTGTTATTCTAGTTTTTAAACGAATGTGGTAACTAACGTATTTTCTTACTTTTTTTTTATTTTTCGTTATTGTAACTATTTTTTTTTTTTTTTTGTTTGTAGTTTTTCTTTTTTTCTGTTCCTCGCCCTCACTGCACCCGCCTCCTCACTGAAAGCGGGAAACCTGCATGTTACGTGTCTGTTGTGTACCGGTGTTGTATGCATGAGTGTGTCTGTTTCTCTTCCTTTTCCTCAAGGCAGTAGGCTTGCAGTCTCGTTTTTTTTTTTTTTCCTTTGCCTCCTGACATCAACTTCTGACGCTGATGCTACCGAATGGCGACTACCTTGAAGTCTGAATAGTGGGAGTTTTTTATAGGTGCCCTTTATCCCGGTGCCTGCCTGAGTGCTAACCTCGTTGGAGCCTCCTTGCCGTTTCCCAAACACAGAGTCCGGGCGTGATGTGCACGGCCTACATGCAAAAGGAGGGGTGCATGTGTGTGTGAGACGTAGAAGTGGCGGGAGGTCCGCTCTCACCGAAGTCCATTTTTCACGGTGGCGCTTTACTTCATTGCTGCACCGTGTGCCAGCTGACGCTGCGGTGGCCTTTTTTTTTTTTTGCATGACGGGTCTTGCAGAGATGCAGGTAGTGAGGAGGCGAAAAGAAGAGAGAAAAGGTGCCATTGCACCCCTTGCTTTGGAGGGAGGAGCTCACGGGCAAGCGAAGGGGAAGTCACGGCAGTGCCGCATTTCGCCCAACTTTGCCAATGCTTTGTTTTACTGCGTGGAAGACGTAGATGGAATCAATTTGAACCCCCAGTACGACAAGTGAAGCTGAAATGTTGCGGGGTTTGGTGAAGAGGACTTCTGCGCGGAAGGAGGCAAATCCAAGGCAAGCCGGAAGTTGGCTATGCGATATTTTTTAGATATGCAGACGAACACGTTTCATGCTTGAGGTCTGCAAAGGTGGTGCTGGGATGCGTCGTTTCCGCCTCATCTTCCCCGCGGAGACACGGTGCCCTGAGCAGTTGCATCTCCTGGGCCCTCTTTGGCCACCGACCACGTATGGGCGTGTAGGGGGTGACAACAACAACAAAAAAAAAGACAAGAAATACTCTGGGCGCTCGAAGTGACGTGGCGAAAAGAGCACCGTTACTGTTCCCGATGGAGGGTGTAAAGATGGAAGAGAGGGGATGCGTGCCATCTTTGCACGGGAATTGCTGAGGGGAAATGGCGTGTTTGCAACAAAAAATCAGCCCCACGTTGAATTTAACTGGCAACCATAAAAGGTTTTCTTGTCCGTACTGGTGGCATGTGGTATGTAATGTATACATATGCTACCTCTCTCTCTCTCTCTCT